TTGATATAAATGAAGTCAATTTACAATATTAATATGTTCCATTGTTCTATAATTTAGTGACTCAAACTCTCGAATAAATTTGTAATCACGGTTTATTTACAGTTTAACAAGTTTTCGATCGGGCTCACGTTAAGGAATAACTTAGTTAATTTAAACTGCCAATTTCTTTCAATCTTGCAGAATAGGTTCTCGCAATTTTTTGTGTATGTATTACTATAATGTGCGCTAAATCCAGTATTCGTTGCTCGTTATGCCAATATAATTGCAAATGTAAGGGAGTGGTCGGTGACTTTTGAGACGGGGACTGTACTGTACATAGTCAAAACTTTCCCTCTACGTATCATTCCCAACCAAATTCAAACTGTGATTACTGCTTTAAATAAATAAGCAACGGCCATGTTCAATTGCAAACCATCTCACATTACACTGTACGTATTTTAACAAGTACCGTTCACGTTCCCGCGTTTTGTTTGGTTTAATGCGCGCAGTTAATCGCCAGAAACGAGCGAGTACACCGTTATGCAATATGCGCATAATGGTGGAAATTCTGGTGTTTGGAGGATATCTGGCTATCATTCATGATACATCTTCATGGGGGAAACATACTTTTGCATGACAACGCGTCTGACACTGAAAAATATCTTCGTACGAGTTATCCCTTCTCAGTCGGTGAATTCACGCGAGTCGAATTCATCTATTCGAGGCGTTTTACCCTTTATTGCACCGGAGATCTTTCACAATTACAAATTTGCAAAGAAATCAGATGTTTATTTATTATGCATTTAAGGGGATAGAGAATTCGGTAGGGACTTGACATGCGATATTGTGGATGGACTCCGACCACTGATGTACCAGAAAAATACAAGAAATTTGCTCAGCGTTGTTGTGATGCCGATCCTGACAAGCATTCTAATGTATGGAATACCATTTACCGTAATTATGTAAAGCCCTTATCACGTCTTGAGAAGGAAAGTATGTATTCTAGTAAGCTCTTACATAATGGTGACTTGCCTAAACCAAAGAAACAGTTACGATTTTGAATCAGTTGCAGGTATAAAGATTATATGTTGATTTGTAATGAAGCTATTTGCAATATTATTGTCCATTATCTTAAATCTAGTGACTCATATTCTTGAATAGACTGGTAATTACATTCTATCTGATCATTTTCAAATAGTGGATAAAGACGAGAAATATGATTCTAGCCATCACGACGAGAATTATTGGTTCGCCCCAATCATTTAATTTTGGATCGCATTTTGGAAAAATGAAATTCACTATGGTATCAAAGACTGAGAATTTCTTACCGTGCAGTGCTATCAATTCGTATTGCTAGTCAAGTTTCAACAAACCAGCGTTCAGTTTTTCGCTGATTGACGAATGTGTCTGAAGAGATAATACTGCTACACGTTGAGCTACATCGATAATGCGATCAAGCTCTTTTTCACCATAGATAGCTAGACCAGCTAAAACGGTACCGACAAAACTGTTGTAAATAGTCATTGAGTGGCTGGCGTGGCTTTTTTTAAAAAAGGATGATGAGCACAGTAAAATACGCCATGATGCTTACCTGTCTCCGGCTCCTGTAACATTAATAATACTAGAATTCTCGACTGAAGCTGGTTGAAAGTATTTAACGCGTACTGTTCTTTTGTCGTCAAGCTGTATGACGCCATTCCATTTACTAGGTACAAGTTGTTCCTGTAAATCTCTGCTGTTGTCTATTAGCTGAACCAACAGTGCACCGCGTTCACCCAATTTAACAATGACGGTAGATGCTATCAATAATAGACTGACAGAACGTGACAGAATCTTGTCATCCTTTAGAGCCATCAATATCTCATGTTCCCTCGCTATCTTTTGTTTGATTGTAAGTAAATCTAATCCTATAGAAAAAAAAATAATCCAAGTATTATCAACGACATGATATGCATGACGACAACAATAAAAAAAAAGAGCATATCTCAAATGTTTACCTTGATCAAGCCAGCGTCCAAACATAGAAGTCAAGGCAAGGTCCATGGCCTCGAGTTCGTGGATATTTGGTGATATGTAAGCAAGACGACTTTTTATTCTCTTTGCAATATCATGGTCCGCGAACCATCTGAGAGATTTGGAAACTGACGTGGGCTCAAAGAAGGCTAATTGAAAACATGATTTTTATTATCCAATTTCCCAAAAGCCAGGTTTGTATCGGAATAGAGGTCCTTGGACTTGGAATACATACTCGGAATACCTGCGTCAAAGCAATAACCAAGTATTGCACTTGCAGAATTTGGATCCAAGTTCCCATCAACGCAAACGATGCTCGGTTTGCTTTTGTCGATTGCTTTTTTGACCTGAGAAAAATAATAACAAGAGAATCGTAGTGTGAGACAGGTGTCTACTGTAAGGATTACCATATCTGTCAGAGATATTATACACACATACCTTCTCAGCGTCAATTGCAAATTCCATATCAGCAATGGCACAATACAAACTTCCGTTTGACTTGTGAATCGCACTATACATTGCCGTGCGATGCGACTTGGAAACCTGCAGTTCATCCATACACTAATACAAAAAAACACGTACAATAAAGTATGAAAACTTCATCAAGTATCTCCACTCCCATCAAATTTGGCACTCGACAAAAAAAAATTCTTACCATTCCAATCTTTCGCGTCTCATCCAAAAACCATTGCCCCAACAAATCATCTCCGACTGTAGATACTAAGATGCTTTTTACCCCCAATCTATGCACAGTCTCGGCAATATTGCGGCCAACACCGCCAAGACTTGTTCGGATTCTTCCAGGCGAGGAGGTCTCAAGGGAAACGTTTGAAGAGGTAGCCGTGATGTCTACTGCTGCCCCTCCAACTGTTAAAACCTTTGTATTAAGCGGGTTGTGTTGGTCAGAAATCAAAGTGTATGCAATAAAGGCTATAATAAACGTGGGGCTTTTACCGATGGTTGTGGGGAGACTTTCGAGGACTATAAATCATTACGTGATAAACATTATCCATTAGCGAAACTGATATACCAACAAAATTCATGTGTGCATCCCTGTGACAAACGCCTACCACTCAAGAACAAAGAGCCATCACCTTAACTTCATTTGCGTGGTTGCTGTCGCCACCCGACTTTAACACATTCTCTACAAATACCGATGTTTCATCTCCTTGTCCATTCTTGTTCATATCTTTAAACCGTTTTGAACGCGTCAAATTTACTAGACAGGCAGCAATCTGACTACCAATTTTTGCATTGTTTTTTACGAGTGCCACATCTATTCCAATATTAAAATTCAATACAATCGTGTAGGAATCTCGTGAATCAATTAATATAAATCAGGAACCATACGTAACTCGCAGTTAAAGATTTGCCCATAGTAATCTGCTCGACTCTTTCTAAAAGAAATGGAGTCACATCTTTGCCTCTAATTCCCTCAGCTCTGGTAGGATAGAAAAGCAAGAATAAGAATCACAATATATTTGAGAATACGGTACGGAACTATTTATACAACAAAATAGCACCTACTTTGCCTGTACAAGCGCAGCCCCGATAGCGCTTTGAATATGTGATGCATTAGCAGATTCATCCTTGGGAATAGGTACAGCAATGACAATCCCGTTCTCAAGCTCGAGTTTAGAATTGGCGGCTTCATATAATACGGTAAAGATATTTAGTATACAAAAAAGGAATCTCACGCGTTTCTTGTCATTTACTAGTTACCGATTAACTTGGCACACTCTTCAACTGATTTCAGATTTGATGGGCTCTAATGAGAATCAATCAATTACATTCAGCAAAGACCAAGTCCAGAAAAAGCGCGCAAAGTTACGTATCCAAGTTTATATATTCGTACTTTAAATCCACTCTTTGCAGTAAAAAAGGCAGGGAATTCATCACACTCCCCGAATGTAACAACTGGCACACCTTGAGTCTCCTATAAGATCAATCAAGTCAATTAATTATTCATATCACCTATTATTATACACCTACATCTCACACTTCCCACATGCTAACCAAATATTCAAGAGTCCTCTCAATATCTAGAATGGACTTGACACCAGCGCATACGACGGCTACAGGAGTTTTGCTCAATTCTGTTAGATCTGCACTTATGTCAAGTGCTGCAATGTACATAATGAATAGGTAAGAATTATGCGTAATCATTGGGGATACGAATAAAAAGAGAGAAGCAATATGTATTACTTTTCTCGCCATCTCGGTGGACGCCGCCGATACCTTTAATTTGGAAAATATTAGCGAGATAATAAAACAATCCTTTATATAGCTGCCGTTAAATTTCCCAAACGTTGCGTATGTAGTTACATACCTCCTGTCACAAACACTTTTATACCAGCACGATGCGCAATAACCATGGTTGCAGACACAGTAGTAGCGCCAGTTAGATTCTATAAATAATGATATATACCAATCGAATTCAGTCTCATCACAGAGACACACACATACACATATGAGCACAATGTGTCATTTACTTGTGAAGTCACTAAAGCAAGATCTCTCCGTGAAGTTTTTCTGGCATTTCGTCCCATCATTGACAGCCTTTCTAATGCGTTTTGGGATAAACCTAAATAAAGTTGTGTAGTTATTATCTCTTGTATGTATACTTTCTCTGTAAACGCTTAATTTTTGTAGATACCGATATGTACGGTTCCATCTATAATAGCAACCGTCGCCGGTATGCTTCCATGCTCGCGCACTATTTTCTCGACTTCAAGTGCAGTTGCAAGATTCTGTGGATACGGCATTCCTAAAGTTTGATAAATGAAAAATTCCAGAAATCTTTCTGTTAATACGAGCGTCGAGACGACTATCCATTATTGCATCAGTTAGCGAACCATGTGTAATTATGGTAGACTCAAGTGCCACTACTGGCCTATTCGTTGACAATGCATCAAGCACCTCAGGGGCATACTGAAAATCATGGCTTTGAGGAATGATTGTAGAGAACTGCAAACTCGATGACTATCCAAAACGAATAAAAAGAATATAATCTTAAATGGCGAGTCCCTGGGAAAAAAAATCGATACTTTCCCCCCCATATTGTTAATTGAGTTGCTTTTTTAATTTACCATGCAGGAGGCCCTACAACGCCAAACATTCCAACGGGAGAGCTGTCTACCAGCAATAAACTCACGGCCAAGTACTACGCGCCTGTAAATTCGATTTAACATTTTCTACTTGTGTTAGTGATTTATCCGTGCTCGGGTCATAGTTTGCATGTGGTCATACGAAGGCTTTGTGATGATGCAATGATGTCAGTCGCATCTGTACCAAGTGTCATTCGATGGCGATGTAATGAGTGCAAGTCGTACAAGACAACTGATCCAATAAATGTTTTCTCATTGTTAGCAAACACGTTGATGACGCATATATAGACTCCATCAAACTGTCATGTATGCTATCATTTTTCGTAATTCAGGAAACATACCCACACAAAGCAAGTTGGATATCGGTTATGACACCATTGCTAGCCACTTAATATTATTTATAGAATTATTTATTAATTGCATTTTAGAGAACACTACATTTGGTACTTTGGGATAGCTCTCCAGTATTATTGAAAAGTCGGCAAATGAAGAAACGGCTATAGTAATTCCCTTTTGACTATAAATCAAAAAGTTAAACCAACTTTTTTCTGTTTGCTAAGATACGTGTATATTATATCACGTGATAATAACACGCATCACGTCTAATTCTCGTCGCATCGCATATACATCTTTTTAAAGTTTTGCAGACGAAAGGAAAAAAAAATGTCATTAAAAGACGCAATAGCTTTGGTTCGTGACGCAAAGAGACAGCAAGAGTCGAGTTTATTTAGTCCATATAACCGCGAGACTGTGAAAGTTCTTACGTCCTCTCTTTCCACTATCACAAACGTTAGCAATGGTGCTACTACAAATGATCTCGATTTTCCAATGTCCACTTCCATAATACCGTCCGATACCTCAACTCTCGAACCAACCCTTCTCAATCCTCTCGTCTGCTCCCGCACTGCTCGCGCCCTTTCTATTTATCATAATATCCGCCTTGCTACCATAAAACGAGCCGTGCTATCTGAATCCATTAGAGAACTTGAACACAATTGCTCACCATCTGAAGCCAAATTTGCCAAAGAATATTATCGATTGGTCTCTGGATTCAAACGAGGACAACTTGGCGGTCGTGGATTGGGAGGAAGATGGAGAGGAAAGAACGGATGGAGAGACAGATATGATGGTGTGTGTATGAAAGTTATCAGTGACAGAGATTTGATAGGCGTAGTGGCCAGACATGGAGAGATGAGTTTTGTACGGGGAGATGCTGGCGTTTGGAAAGGTGAATTGATTGAATGTATCAAAGAAGTCAGGTGATATCACTTTTGAGAAAAAAATGAATATCAACCCTGGAAACGAAAGAAACACATCACATAATCCAAGGCAAAACAAAATAAAAAATACTTGTATGTTGACAGCCATACGTAAATATAAGCATCGTGGTGCGCATAAGGGTTCTGACTGACTATGAGATAACAAACGCTCTCACTAAACTTTTTCCATGCCTTTGGTCATCCAGCTTTTTTTCCCCATCCTTGCTGTTCCGTTTATTGCCGTGAGCAAGAATGTGGCTAATGTTATGAGAATGTGCAGAGAATTGGCCGTTGCCACCAGCAATTAATGTGCATAAGCCTTTGCACAATTCACGCAGTAATTTTTGAAGATGAAAATTCTGAAGCGATCCATCTTGGGTACGTGGATTCTCTACCATATTTTTATTGGTAAAACATAAGCCGTAATAATCCTTATTTACAGTGAGTTATTACTGAACGCCAAAGAGCGTCGTCTCTCACTTAACATAGTCCCTTACATTGCACACCACAAAAGTCTAATCGAAATCGCTTCCGATGGTATTTGTCAACGGCAACATGTTGTTCATCTTCACTTATTTGGTCCGTGAGCATTGCTTCCATTGCGTCATATATCTTCTGTGGCGAGAATAAACCCATTGGCTTCACCTATATATATATTGAATGAGCTGAACATAAGATATAAAGTACATCACAAAAGCTCCTTCTTCTTGACGTGCATGTACCTCCTCGATTAAAGCCCTCAAATTGTATATGTTATTATTATTATATTACACTGACGGATAAATTAGTGCTATTAATATTACTATTACTATTACTATGGATTATAACGGATTCAGCCGGATATTCACAGCTTGTTTCTAGTACCCGTTACATAAATAATTACGAAAGAACAAAGACTATTTTGCCTGGAGCCTCCGGCTTGTCCCACAAAAGAACCATTTAGACATATCCAGCAGCGAAGCGAGAAAACGTTATAACGTGTCGCTTTCTAAATTTATTTTGTTATGATCACATGATTACTGCGTCCCGTTAACTTAATATAGTAACGGGGGATCCAAAATTGGGGGTGACTGTTTGGCTTCTCAAACTCATCTGGAAGACATATATTATACCGTCTTGGAACGACACGGCGATGACGCGTACTACACTGTCACAGACGACGGCGCAAATGCCTACCACGGCAGAGGAAATATGCCTTTCTCCAAAGAAGCGAAAACAAGGGTACTCTTTCCAAATACTGCATAACAAACACGTAAATATGGCAACTATTTACGGAGACGACACAGATTCTTTTTTATGGCAATCTCTTCTGTTACCGATGGGAAGAAGTATTTTATAAAGCTGATTGAATTGAAAGGTGGCCAGCTGAGCACATAGAAGACAATTGGTATTGACAGCACTTAGTCAAATTTCGTTTGAATTTCTTATAAAGCAGGCATCTATTTACCTCGTCAAAAATCGTCCATCGTCTTGGTCGAAAACAATCTTTATACACTCTTTTGAAATCGTCCATCATCTTGGTCGATAATAATAACAAACTTATACGTTCTTTCTAATCTTGGTCGAAAACAAACTTATACACTCTTTTATAATCTTGATCAAAAACAAACTCATACATTCTTTTATAATCGAAAACAAACTTACACATTCTTTTATAATCGTCCATAGTTATTATACGAATGTAAAAGAGTTAGTATTAGAGAAAATCGGCTGTTGTCTGCCCAGATGTCATGAACAGTTGCTGGGCGGATTTGTATCAGCAGATGGAGCAGAGATCATTTATCTGCTCAATATTTTAGTAGGAGGTCCGTTTCAGCATTGGTCGAAACAAACTTATACACTCTTTTAAAATCGTCCATCATCTTGGTCGATAACAAACCTATACATTCTTTTATAATCGAAAACAAACTTATACATTCTTTTATAATCGTCCATAGTCTTTCCTCCGCCCCAGAATTATTATACGAATGTAAAAGAGTTAGCATTAGAGAAAATCGGCTGTTGTCTGCCCAGATGTCATGAACAGTTGCTGGGCGGACTTGTATCAGCAGATGGAGCAGAGATCATTTATCTGCTCAATATTTTAGTAGGAGGTCTGTTTCAGAAACAAACTTATACACTCTTTTAAAATCGACCATCATCTTGGTCGATAACAAACTTATACGTTCTTTTATAATCGTCCATCGTCTTGGTCGAAAACAATTTATACACTCTTTTATAATCTTGGTCGAAAACAAACTTATACACTTTTAAAATCGACCCCTTTCTATGCTTCAATATATGACGGCCATTTCGATGGACCCACGCACATCGATCGTATTCCCGTGCCATAATGGCACGTCGGTTGTTTTTTTTTTTATGGCTTTTCACGATCTCATCGGTGAATACATTTGTTATATCTATATATCACAGAGTATGGTTAATAAAAAGCATATTTTCGAGATTCTTATATCCACATAAAAGTTCTTTGATTGGCTTTATTATTGCAATCATCGAGTGACATTGATGACCCACATTACGATTATACCGTTTTTGTATTTATTACAAGTCAATAAGGTGAATATAAACACATTCTGACACATATAAATATATGTCATCAAAGGAAGATAACAATAGCTACCGGACAGCGTTTAGTGCCTCAACAGCTTGTTCCTACGAAGAGAATAAAATCCAAATACATTAGATTCCCGTTCAATTTCCCGTTCTATATAATGTCCAGCCTGAGCTTGTGCTAGTCACTCGAGAATATTTCGTGACAAGCCTCAAATCCAAACCGAGTTTACTCTTGCACATGAAATCCTTCAACGAAAACCCATAGATTAAGAGTTCACGTTGTACACACACTGTGCTGAATTAAAAACGATAATGTGATATGTTAAAAGACGAGGTGACTTACTCTTTCAAATCCCTTTCGTGAAGAAAAAAAATGACGATTTTGAACATGGTCACGAAAGACAAATTTCTTTTATCCTTTGCACAACCCTTATATGCAAGATGCCAATCACTTGTTAATTTATAATAGATTTCCAAATTTACACTACATTTTTTAAAGTCCCATCATTCTAATGTCGACAACAATAGCCCTCTCTTCAACAGCAAAACGAGATTTGATTCTGATAGCCTCAATATTAATCCGCTTTTTATTGTTCCAATTCGACAATGTCACTGAGATTCTTGGTAGCAGAGTCGAAATAGTCACTCCAGTCACAAGTTTTCGAAGACGTGAGTAGAGAGAACGCAAGCAAAGAATTTGAAATGACACTTGAGCTCTTTAATCGATTGCCGATGAAACATGAATAATCACTAAGTGAGATTGATAATATTTTTAGTTACCGAGGGGATATATTTATTCCAGAATGGTGTTCCACCATACGATGGAGGCATTTTCCATCAGGTATCAAAAACGATACTTTTGATTGATTCTTGCTTTTTTCGGCCAATCTGCTAATCCCGATTTAATTTCACAATCCTTGTTCACTCATTCCATCAGCCACCGCTTCTCCTCCCCATATTTGCATACATTCCTACAATCCTCACACCAATACTCTATACATGCCTTGATCTCGTATTTGCATATCTAATACAAGAGATAACACGAATAAAACAGCAGCTATACAAGGATTGCCCACGCAGTGATGGAGATGAGGGTGAAATTGAGCCATGGGTCGTTGCTGGATGGTATGTGAACGTGTCACGCGCGATGGTAGTTTATAACGCAATTTAGAATCAGGCCTAATATAACTGTTTGCTTCACGTCCCCAGCTACCTGTTGAATCCATTGACGATAGCAACATGTCTATCAAAGTCAACGGTAGTGTTTACAAATTTTGCCGTTGTTGCGAGTGTTTACTATGCTATGAAAGGTTGGTGGTTATTGTGCTATCTCTTTGCTTGTGATTCTTAACCACGTCATCGTCGTTGACTTTCATAGACTATGTGATTTTATTGTAGGAAATAGATCATACGCAATGTTTGGAATTGCTATGGCTACTTATTTAAGTCTTTATCCCATAACTATGGTTGCACTGATAATACTACTTCTTAATCAGAATATGCCTGGAAAGGTTGGTGAACTATAAGCGATCGTTGTATATTAAGTGTTGGCATATACTTGAATTCCCTTTGCTTCTTCTAGAGCATTGCTGTCCATTGCATAATATTATTTATTGGATGGCTGAGCGGTCTTATCGGTTTATCTTATTTATTAGTCGGGTCGTGGGATTTCTTGTCGGCTACATATGGTTTCATGTAAGTCAAATCAAGATTTGTATGAATCAAGTCTCCACTATTCGATTTGCAACAAACGTTGAAATTGTATGTGTCCATTTTGTGTAGTCTGCTGCTTTCTGACCTCGCTCCAAATATTGGACTATTCTGGTACTTTTTTATTGAAATGTTTGATCAGTTTCGTAATTTCTTCCTGGTGGTATTTCAGTTACACACGCTTATATTTGCCGCACCACTCACGATAAAGTTCAGGTGGGTAACGTTACAAACTTAAGAGTATGAAGATGATGGTTTACTTATTGTGACTTTGTTCATACGTACTGTATAGAGATCATCCTTTGTTTGCAGTATTTGTGCTTGGTGGAATAACGGCTGTGTTCAAGTCATACCCATCAATTGGAGACGCGTCATTATATATTGCATTCCTGCCAATATATTCAGAAATAGTCAACTGTATGTACAACAAGCACTGATTTCATATATTTCCTTATTAGAAGACTTGTTACTCTCTCCCAGAATCTTACTTACTAATATCTTCCCCGTCTTTCTGACTAGATATGAGGTATAGCTTTCTCATCACGAACATATTCCTTTATTCTTCTCTGCTAGCACCCATATTTTATCATTTATGGATCTACGCTGGAAGTGGGAATGCGAACTTTTTCTATGCAATCACGCTTGTATATAGTATCGGGAACATTGTTTTATTGGTAGATGCAACCTATGCAATGTTGAGAAGAGAGTTTGATGTGCGGAATCCGGAATTGAAAGGACGTGAAGTTACGCAAAAGTAGGGAGAAAAAAAAAAGATATCGAACCACAACAGACATAAGAAAAAAAAGAAATTAAAGAGAATCTTTAAAAGAAATAATACCGAAACGATGTATAAAAAGTCCATATCAAAGTACTTTACTGAGGATTTCATAATTAAACGAGGTTGCCTCTGGCCCACTTAGATACTTGCTAGGTGAGGTTCCATCAATACTATATCTGTTTTCATTGGATGATGTTAGAAAGATGATACTTTACAAGTAGCGTCATTACATTTAGCCGAATATACTTGCCCAAGATGGTTGCAATAGAAGTTAATTGCTCTTTCGTTAGCTAAGTTGACGAATTTAAATTTTCTTTTTCAATTTTATCAAGGAAATAAGAAATTGCGCAGCATCAATCTCACTCCCCCAAGAATATCATACCTTTCCACGCGGTCAGCACGCTCTTCTTCATTCTCCAATACCTCCCCAGATCTTCTAATATGTTCATTAGAAACGTCCCAAGTCCTTTTCCTCTCACTTCATCAGTCATCTGAATTTCAAGACTGTGCGTGTATCCTTGTCAATTAATTTCGCATGCACGGACAAGCTATCATCACAAAAAAAATCATACCAATAAATAACTTCTATCTCAACGTCCTCGTCTTCAGCATCGTCTAACCACAAGAATTGAAACAGTAAGAACCCAATCGGGATGTCATTGTCATTGAATGCAATAATGTATCTTGTATGTCGTTCCCGCATTTCCTTGCGTTTCTCTTTTGGGTCGTGTGATGAGTCGTAACTGCAGATGGTCATGAGGAAAATTCATCAATCAAGGTATAGAGAGGGGGAGACTGTCATTTCTTGCAGAAGATTGATGCTTACTACGGTGCCATGTTCGATTCGACCAAGTTAAAGCACCAATAGAACAGATCTGTTGGAAGTGTTTTGATTGTGTATGACTGTAATTTACATGTAAACCTATAGCCCAAGCATTAAATAATAAATAAACGATAAAAAAATCGCAAATAGAGGTAGAAGACGGATAGTACGTACGAATCGCTTGTATATTCCGTTGGTTCTTTAAGAAAATTGATATGATCCGTCGCCTAATAATTTAATTGAATTTTACCCAGCATATTAACTCGTTTAATTATTTGCATTTATTACCTTGTTTGCAATCTCCACAAGGCTTCTCTTTTTTAAATTTGTTGTATTTTTTGTCTTTTTTGTATTTGTTGCCTTCTTGCTCTTCTTTTTTACCATAGTGACAAATGTATAAACACGTCAAATGCACAGAGAATCACCAAATATTGGCAATGCCTGTCCAGGTCGGACAAAATTTTACAAGGGTGACATTTAAAATGTAGCAGTATTGTATGTTGTACTTGTGAATTAAGGTTGGAAACAAAGAAACTGCCATTTGTACCCTTTCTCTCCCAACCGATGGAGCAGTACGTGAGAAAGAAGATTCGTTAAACTATGTACCTTCGTTAATTCTCTTTGTTTCTGACAACTAAACGATAGTCATAGATTTGATCATGCTGCTGTGTAACTATAAATAAGACAAAAGTGAGGGTTTTTTGAAATCCCATGTCGCGCTCCAATTCAGTTAAGTATATGGCATCTTATAAACAGCTTCACTGGCCTAAGATGATATTTTATTTTCTATTTTCCTTATACTTCTCCCTTTCTCCTGCTTATATCCGCCTCCTTTTTTCTCGTTTTTTTTTCTTCTTTTTCTTGTTTATTTCGTTTTCTCTTCGTTTGGCTTGCGGGTCAGGTCAAACGCTCTTTACAAATACCTTCAGTGTTTGGCTTGCTCTGTCCCTGAAAAGTCGTCAGGTCAAAACACACCCCTATAAACAACCACCTTCTGCTTTGACCTGTAATCCCAGGTCAAAGTAGCCCCTAACGATTCTTTGTGAACTTGTGCGAGTCCCTGAAAAGTCCGCGGGGCCAGGATACCTGATAACAATCAATATGAACTGTTGTTTTACCGTCGTTGAAACTCTTTTTTATATAGAATGGGAGTTAAGAATGCGGAGTTAAGAATGCGGAGTTAAGAATGCGGAGTTAAGAATTTCGGTCGAGTTGATGTTGGTCGATGCATAAAGGTGTATACTAAAGATAGAATCGGTAATTATCATAGAGAGAAAATTATAAAATCATGAATGTAAGATCCTAACTTCATCCAAAAACTACTTGTTTCGGTAAAAATGATGGCTAATACTAATGACAATTGCGTATTGCCGGGACAAATATCAGCCCAGTAATGGCCAATGCTGAATTGTTCCTTTTTCTTTATTCTTTGCAGGTAGACAGGTAGCATCCATAAGTACATTCTCTACCCATAGACATCAAAATTCCTGCAACCACTTTTTTATTATACTAACAGTTTCAGTAAATTACTTGTTGCAAATAGACGTGCTGTCTCTTACTTAATCTCTTACAGAAAACAAAAGCAGAACGTAAAGCAAACTAGTCGTAGCCTATATCGACCAGACAATCTTGTATGTCACGAAGAGTTAACGCTGTTCTTAGAAATAAAGTATTATCACCCGAATACCAGATCGAATAGATCTTGACTGATTCTACTAATCTAAATTAAAAACCGTCGCTAAAAGAAAAAGTCAAGATTGTGAAATTACGCTCTTGACTTTCTCCTATTGAACATCTTTGGCTTATTTTCACATTCTTCGTGGCTTACTTTGTGACACTGGGAAAATTAAATTACGTCATATGTATCACTCTTTAAAGTGCAAGCGCCCCTTCACATAACAATCTCTACTCTCTTCGACTATGAAGACAATAAACATAGCATCTGCATACCTTTTATGCTACATAACGTAAGTACTTGTTTATAACTGACAGTCGGAAACGTCTCGCATTGTTTGATTTTTTCTGGCTCCAATTGATTAATATATGGTCCTGTGGTTGACTGGCTTACTCGCTTCAATTACACTCAAACACAGCCTCCTTATCTTTATAACAACAGCTTCCCACATATCATCAAGATCAGTCTCTGCACAACGACTGCCGAATGGTGGTACGTTAAGTAGACCCATAGTAAAGCTGGTTAAGACTTTGGAAGACACCGAAGCAACCGAAGACGCAAGGCATGACGGAGACATTAGCATAGAGGAAGGAGCACTAGACAACGGAGTAGATGGTGTAGCAGATGTTGTAGCAGATGGTGTAATAGACAACGGAGTAGATGGTGTAGCAGATGTTGTAGCAGATGGTGTAATAGACAACGGAGTAGATGGTGTAGTAGATGGTGTAATAACAGATGTCGGCGCAGACAGTGGAACAGACAGTGGTAATGGCGACGATAAAGAGAAAATCAACGACAAAGACAAGGATGACGATGATGAGCTTTTGCTGTATACGTGTAGAGTTGTTGGAGAATGCGCACCTTGTAATATATTTGAGACTGTGAGTTGAAAAAAAATTGCATACAATTTTGGTCTTGGCGTTTTTATTCTCGAACGATCCAGTTTTGCTTATGCTAACTCTATGCCGGTAATCGATTTCATCACCAGAAAACTCAAGAATACTGCCAGGAATTCGGAAACAAGGAAAAATTAGAATGCAAATATAACCATCCAACAAACGAAACGGATTTATCGTTATTGCCGGAATTCCGTCCTTGCCGACGAGTGAAGCTATTAGAGAAAACACGATTCCTCAAATTTCAGGTATACTGAATGGAATTTAGTTTCTTGTCTATGATCTGTATAATGTAACTTGCTAATGTATGATTCAATGCGATATTCCAATCGAACGGGATCTTTCTTTCTCCCTTCCTTCATTGTAGTTCTTTAATGTATTTATAGCCTCAATGGCAATTGCGTGTGTTGTCTATAGACGGCGTAAATTGGCGGCAGAAGGCTACAGGAGACTCGCCCAAAGAATAAGTGGGGACGCCCACATCTGAAATGTTTAATTAATAACATCGAACATTTTTGACGGAAAAGTTTTAAATGGACAATAAGTTAATAAGTTAATGTGAAAGACTATGTAAGATATAATTCGGGTAAAATTATAGAGTTCAACTTGTCATATGAAGACTCTTCTACATTCTGTCGACTTCTGCTTTGACACCGAGGACTTCGGGTAGGGTTTGTCCACACGGGCCTATACTGTATTTTTATTAGAATAAATTGTAGAGAAGGGAAGAAAAAAGGTTACCTTTCGTTAGAACTCGAAATGATCGTAAAAATTCAAACTTTTGCTTTAATAAACATTACTGCTTACAATTCAAAGTCTATTCCAGTCTCCAACGTTTCGAGCCTCTCCATCGGCTCGACATTGAAGTTGGCGATTATAGCTTGAGGATTTTGTATTTTCACAGCATGGCGAAATCCCGCTGCTGGGTACACGAGCCCTGACTGTAAAAATGCCACAACAATAAAATATGAATTATAACCCCCTTCAGATTTTCGATTCTTTCAATTCCTCCTGGTTTATATCTCTTGCCGATTTCCTTACCGTTCCAATAATCAAAACCAGATCACACCTGAACAATTCCTTTTGGATTTCAGCCAACACACTCGCTTCCAAACTTTCTTCAAACCAAACGACATGCGGTCTAAGCAATCCATTACACTTTTCACATTTGGGCAGGTCTTTTAACGCGATCTCCCTCTCAAACTCTTCATTCTCTGTACCTTCCAACGCAGGCACGATGGGAGAGTTGCGATTTTCGCGAACATCACCGCAGCCCGTGCATCGATTTTTGAACAGCATACCGTGCATTTCAATGAGGTTTTGAATGCCAGCGGAAAGGCCGTCAATGTTTTGGGTAATCAGGGCAAAGGTGGGAGTATCGGAAGACTGCGAACTGGCTTGTGAGAGAATTTTCTGTTCGAATGCCACGAGTGCTTTATGCGCACGATTCGGTTCTTTTGTCAAGACCAACTCGCGGCTGGTGGTCACGGTGCAAGAAAATAATAATAAAAATGGTTAACCAACATTGGAAGAACACAATTATTGGAAATGTTGCGCATTGTTACCGGTAGTGATAAAACTGCCAGACGCGACTCGGATTAGCCCTAAATGCCTGTGGACATATAACAGAAACATCACATTATTTAAATCTGTCCGGGAAAACTTGACCCAACAATATACCTGCCTGTCAGATGATTATGAAATGTTTGTTCTATATGTTTCCCTGCAACTCACCCTGGGCGTGGCCAAACTCATGGCATCGTATTTACGCCAAAGTCCGCCATCACCTCGAAATGTCTAATGTTACATGTTCATTAAATATTTTATCAGAAAATCACAAAAACATGATTGGTCTATTTCGTACCGGCACCCCCGACTCTACGCGAATAGTATGATGATACGTAAAGTTTTTTGTATACGAAAGACGCATTAGAGAGATGGGCCATAGCAAAGAATGTAAGATATATATATATAAAAGGGGGAAGGGGATAAAATTGAGTCGAGTCAGGAAGAGCTTGCTGGGCATGTTGGCAAAGTATCGATACCAAGTTAACCAGCAGATCATGCGTACCAGCGCTTAAACCAGCTCCAGCAAGCGCAACTATGTGTTTAGCCGACTTGAGAGCATTTTGAAAGGCATTTATATCTGACGACGTAGTGGAAGCCATGTTAAACGCTATGAATGAAAACGTGTTGGTAAAGAGAAACCCTTACTGTGCCAAGGTCGTGTCAGGTTCCATTAAGCATATATGTTACACTGAATGCATAAATGATTGCTGCGTCAAAAACGACTCGTTTTATAACTAAAAAGACTGAGTAAAGTTCACGTGAACACGCTAAGCAATGACGCAAAAGTTTCCGTTTTGATAGATTGGCAAGTACCCCAAAATTATAACATTAAGAAAAAAATCGTTGTCACAGCTAACTTTTTTGTCTCAATACGAAGAAGATATCTTTGTTACTAACAGACATCATAGTCGCTGTACATAAAACTCAACAAAAAGTTTCTTTATTCGATGCTATTATTGAAATTACCTAATTAATGTCTTGCGGATTGCCAAGAAATTGTCGATGAACAGTATGAGAGGAAAAATTATAGTTGGATTCGATCAGTAAATAGATACTTTAACGGAATACGCAAGATGGTAAATGACGTAGGAACATATAGAACAGCTATTATTTTCATTGTTGCGTTCAGTTTGCGAGCAGTTTGCGCAAGAAATATTCATTAAACAATCTT